ATTGAATAATGAAAAAGATGTAGAAATTGATCCTGAGATAATTTTGGAACAATTCACAGCCATCAACAAAAGAAAAATGAATCTTATATAAATATATAATATGTCAATAACTATTTTTTACGATGCATATAAATAAAATATATAATTAAAAGTAAATGTTGATTTTAATGATATTTAAATTATAAGATGATGGATCGGGGGTGTGGGGGCATAGCCCCCCACGGGTTACTTTTGGTATAATATTGAGTTGGGGCTACAGCCCCCCTAAGATTTTGTGCTAGTTGCGCCACTGCTCGACATCATTGAAATTAAATCCTTAGACCCAAATTTCCTATGTAAGTAAATAGAGGTTCCAACTAGTAAGGGAGAATTAAGTGACCTAGGTCTAGTTGCAGCTATTATAATATGAGCCGCGGTGGTACGTTTCCTATGTAATTTTTTTCGTTTTTTTCATTTTTTTGAATGAGCGTTTTAAGAAATAAGTTAAAAGCTTCAGGAATTTGATTTTGTAAATAACATAAACAATTTTCAGACGAAGTATAAGTATCCAGCTCATAAACTTGGGACCTAATTTCTTCCCTTATAATTTTAGCTGCAGTCTCTCTAACTTTTCTTTATTTTCGTCACTTTTTTTTCAGTATACCATTGATTTGTTAAAATTTTATAGCCCGTATCACGAAAACAAATAGTAGTTTTTTGTTTTTTAGAAGTCGACACTATAATGTCATCTTTATATTTTAATTTAAAACGAGCGACAACAGACTTTACTTCAAGCTCATAACAATAACCTTGGACCTCTTTTAATCTTCAATTGCATATTGACATTCATCACTGCTTTCCAAAATTTTGAATATATTTTCCATCGCAATATTCAGTTCCTCACTTGCGGGTCTACCACGTTTTGTCCCTTGTTGAGGCAAAGTAAAAAACTTTTTATGACAGTCTCCGTGGTATTTGGCCTCAACCGCTACTAAATCTAACACATTAGTAATACGATTAACAATCGTTTTACCCAATCGTCATCCTTCTTACTCGCAATGTCTAAAGTAGAAATGTTTGTTTCTAAATTCTGTACCTCATGAACAGTCCTCCGATTTTCAATTTTTTTTCACTTTTTTGAAAAACTCGTCATCTATGACTTCATCGCAAAACAAACACTGCAACTTAAAATTAAATTCTGGTATAGCTGACCTTAATTTTCCTTTTTTTGGTGAGATGTAACTGGTACCTTGTAAATTCTTCACTGCATTTACTGTTTTGATTGTGGCTTTGATACTTTGAGGTCCGGTATAATCTAGGGTTGCCATACGTCCCGAAAAACCGGGACTGTCACCGGTTTTCGATTTAGTGTCCCGGTTTTATGAAAAAAAATTTAGTGTTTAATTTTGACAATTTTTTTTTCAAAGAATATTTGAAATCAAAGGTCAAAATATTATTGTTATAGATAACGAATAATTGATAACTCCATAAGCTAAATATAAAATAATAATATCGGGAATATTCGAGGACAACAAACGAGTCGTGTGCACGGTGCAGTTTACGTTTTATTTTTATATTTGATCGATAATCGATACGTCCATACGGGTGATATAGAGACAGAAAAATGACTTTTATATCAGTAGAACGTAGGTCGTAGCCCAGATTGTTCGTTTTTATTATTTTATTTGTTATTATGGCACGTAAAATGGAGTTACTTTAATAATTTTTGTTTGTTTTTTTGGTTCTATTTTCATTTAAATAATGCTACGGTAAAGAAAAATGTATTTATTAAATTGCGATACTTCAAATATATATTTCTCTACAATAATCAATAAAAACATTTTTTTTTTTTTTTAATCTTAACATATATTTTTAAAGTTAAATGTACCTACCTATCAAAGTTTGATCACATCTGTTGTTACTTTGATACCCCCTATTTTTATTCATTAAATCAAATAGTTAGCTAGCCAAACTATCAATGTTGTCAGAAAAAATGTTTTATGATAATTATTTTATGAGATATTTAAATATAAGTGAAGTTGGGTTACATTGATACATGTTTTCTTTTTATAAACAAATTCAAATGAATACATTTCATTCAACTCCATTAACATATAATTAATGGTAGGTAATAAAAACATAATAATAACAATTAAAATTGTATTTTATTTTAATATAACTCAGTCTTATCTTTTCTGGCAGACTTTAATACATTCAATTTAAATATTCCTTATAACAATACTAACTTAAACGTTACCTACATTTATCTAGTCTTTTTATACAATATTGAATTCAATTGATATTTTTATTACAATATCTTAAGCGTATAGTTATGAAGGTAATAAAAAACAATAAACATAATAATAATAACAATAACAATGTACTTAATCTTATTTAATATAACTCAGTCTTATCTTTTCTAGCAGATTTTAGTTTATTAATGTTCCTTATTATAATACTACTTAAAATGTTATCAACATTTTGTTTAATCTTTTGTAAATTAAATTTTATCAAGTCATAACTTCAAGCTTCTCTTACATCCAATGAATGAGAAAATTTGTACTTAATAGATTTCCCCACACCTTTAACTTTAGGATACTTCAAGACTGCTTGAATTTGTTTCAGATTTACTTCAAACACATCATCTTTAATCAATTTAAATGTTTGTTTGGTTGTGTCCAATGACTTAAGTCCTGTTACTGTTATAATTTTGTCCTTGATATTTTTTATTACAGCAAGATAAACATAAATTGACATCCCACGCTTACCAAATTTAATATTAACTAAAATAAATGTTCCAATTTTTAAGTTATCTTTACTTGGTGGTTGATATTCTGGAATAGTGTTATCTACTTATCGATCACTTCATGATCTGACTCAGAGTCATTGGTAAGGATTGGATGATTGCTTAATTCTACCTCTTCATCAGAAATGTCATTATTATTGACACCAAGTGAAGCCACTGTTATACTTGCTCCTGCTTCTACAGTTATTTTTTTCTTTTTTTCCTTGCATTGTCATCAGTGTTTGGATATCGTTGACTTCTCAAATATTCAGTAACAGTGTCATTAATTAAGATATTTGAATCATCAGTATTGGGTAGTTTGTCCATCACTTTTTGTTTATTCAATGGAAAAATACCTGTTGCTTCAAAAGATGCTTGCAAATCATTGGCAATTGAACCACCACCATTATAATTATCCATTGCATCAATTGCTTTTCGTAGCAAGAGTAGGAAATGATGCTTTTGGAATAGCCTTCAATCTTGTGTTTTGGGTTTTCCACTCATTTAATTCATTTCGCCATGCTTGTTTCAACGGTCTAAAAAAACCAACATCTAAGGGCTGGGTTAAATGAGTAGAATTCTTTGAAGGCAAACAAAGTCAATATAATTTTGTTCGCATTCAAAAATGATATCTTCTATTGGATTTTCACAAATGCAACACTTACTTAAAGACATACCTATCAACTTATATTTTCGAATTTCAAATGAAAAATAATCTATGAATAAATAATTAAAATTATATAAATTAGATCGAAAACAATATAATAAATAATAGGTACGCTACGTATTGGCACGATAAGCTCTATTACATTACAGGCACACGACTGAGGTAGATTAATGCGACGGGAACTAATTTGCGATCATCAAAGTTATTTAAAGAAATATTTTGTACCGAGCATTGCTATATTTAGAATATTAGGTTTTTAATAGCCATTATAATAGGATATACAATAAATATAGACTATGTATAACCAATATAACCATAAATCAGTCAAAATTGACATAAATGCAATTAACTTAATAAGACATAATAGTTATAAAGCAATAAATTCAAAATTGTTCATTTATAATAGTATAATACAAAGTAAAAACTGTGTTAATCACGATTACGGACGTCTTAAGACAGAAATTACCAATTATATGATATTTCATGTGCGATTATCCAGGTAAATATTGTTCCGACATAATATGATGTACGAACATTTTTTATAGGTAGGTAATTACCTCTTCTATAATATAGTATATAGGTATTTTTCTTATAATTTCAAAAAAAATCGAGTTATTTGAGAAAAACAGATTTTTATTGCACAAAGCGCGCTCTAGCGGAGGTAGCGGTCATCAAATCTTTAGGGACTTTTAGTATGTTACTTAGTACCCTTCAATAAAGATGTATGCCAAAATTCAGTTTTCCTGCTTTTCTTTCCTCTATTTTTCAAAATTGAGTATAATTTGCCTGGACTATAATGTTGGTATGTGTTTTACAAAACCTCCTTAACAGATGAAGAAGTTTTTTTAAGACTTGATTTGTGCCGTAAAAATGTAACAAATAATAATATTTTACCTAATACATATAACGAAGAGTTACCAATAACCACTGAAAAAAAAAAGATCTTTTGTCATTATTACCATAGATACCGGAAGTGTTTCACCAATTAATTTAAAAACAAAAAAAGGTATTAATGATCCTATTATTTCAGATGATGAAGACTAACACAAACTAAACATATAGAGTTGATTAGTAAGACATTGAATTTATCTCCATCTAAGTATTCTTGTTACAATTACTTAGAGTTTAATGGGATTTTTTTTAAAGAAGGTTATTATTTAAGCAAATTTTTAAATGAAATAAAACTGTTTAAAATAACTGAAATAATTGTAATTGAAAATAATGATGATACAGTTTTAATTTTAGGGGAACAAATATTGTTTGAAAAATTTGATCCTCATTATGAATCCTTTGTAATAAATGAAAATACAAATGAACTAAGTAATTTTTCTATTTATAGCACATATGATTTCAGTGGCCCGCCCATAAATATTACAAATGTGGCAAATGGTAAAAATATGCTCAGATTAAAAGAGTTTTATTAAAATTATTTTAATTAGGTACCAAAAATGTATATATCAAACCCTTAAGATTTATAATTTTGTAATGTATTTTTAATTTTTATTTAAGAATTTATTGTAATTAGATAGTAATATAATAGTACCTATGTAGTATTCATTTTCAGAAATAATGGCACACAGTAGTAATGATTTTGACCCATCTATAGAAGATTTTACCACAGAATCAATTAGTTTTGTAAGTTAATTTACTTTTTACACTTAATTTAAACATTTAAGTACTTAAATTTTACTCATTTATTATAGGATGTAAGTGATGTAACTAATATTCAACAGACAATTGATTATTTTCAAAGTAATGACAATTTGATAAGTGTTGATATTCCAGTAGTTGAAGGATATAAATACCCTACTGAGGATTTGATAATATTAAAAAAATTATTGGATAAATGGAATATGGGGTGTGTTTATCAAACGGGCATTGGTAAGGATTAACATAATTAAGTATTTAATCCTCTATTTTTTTCTCTACCTTTATTCAATTATCACTTATTGTTTAGATAATTTAATTGATTTAAAAGTTCTGACTTACATGAAGGCAGAGGATGTTTATAAGTTGCTAGAAAAATTTCCATTAGGAATCTACATTTTATTTCGCCATGAGCTTGAAGAATGGCAAAAAGATGGGAATTATATTTCTTTAAAGAATAATTCAAACCAAGGGATACAAAATGTACAACTAACATCAGAAAAATCATCATCAATGCAGTCAAAATTACCTTGTAAAACAAAGATAGATGAAATATTGAATTCCTCTCCACAGGGTCATTTAATACTAGAGTATTATAAGCAAAATAACAAATTTAATGATGGGATAAGGACTACATTAGTAGACATTGTAATTGGATATATTATTAGCAATAATATACCAATGTCAGTTAATGTAGCAGAATCGTTGTCGAATCAAATTGTTGCCATGTTCTCCACAGAAATAAAGGTAAAAAAGTAGTTATGTTTAACAATATATGATTTATATATATTTACAATATATCTGTATAATGTAGGTATTTATTATTTATAGAATTATTGAGATTATTTGATTAATTAAATTGAAAAAAGGTAATATGGTAACATTATAATAATTTATACATTTTAAATTGCTATACATATTTTATTTAAATTAAATTAATTATATCTAATTATTTTATCTGAATCATTTTTCATATGAAAAACAATCATGAACCTTACATTAGTATTTTAATAATTAACTTACTAAAAATTAATTGTCACTAATTTTAAAATTGAAAAAATGCAACCCATACAGTTTATATATTGAAAAACAATGGATGTCATAATGAGACATTAGTTAGATCAGACATTAGTCAACAAATATATCATTTCCTTTGATGTACTGAAATTAAATAATTGTAATTAATCTATCACTTTTAGGATGTGTATTTTTTGAAAGTGGGATCAAATAAAAATCCTAAGGGAAAGCTTTACGCCAAGTTCTATAATGCCATGAGAACTCTAAAAAATAATGGGCTAGTTTCCCCTGCAGTCAAAACCGTTAAAATCGTGCAAGAAATCAATAAATCAAGATATGGAAACATTTGGACGGAAAGAGATTTTAGTAATAAAGTTACTTTTTTATGTTTTTATATAATTTACATTTTAATGACTATTGTTTTCAGCATCAGAAAAAAACATAGATTCAATATTAGATGTTTTAAAATATAACACAACTTCATATCCTGATTTAGAGGAGAATTGGAAATCAACGGTTAATTACCGGTTAAATGATATAAAAAAATCAACATCAACAGAAGAGATTTTAAAAAATTGGAAACAGTATTTGATTCCATATGGACACAAACTAGTAAGTAATAAGTATATTATAAATAAAATACTATAAATTATAATTATAAATATTGATAGATGAATACCTAACAAAATTATGCATAATATATAGCTACCTAAATATTTTGAAATGTTATAATTTAAACATGCAGAGTACTGAATAAAACATTTATATTTTATACTAAATTTTCATAATCTTTTTATAATGCTGTCAGAATTAAAGTGTAGACTTAAAATATGTTGCATTTACATTGTCAAAAGTACTAGTAGTAAATAATCATACCTACTGAGTATGGACAGTATATAAATAAAAATTCTATAAATAAAACTTCATATTCAAACCCTGTTTCAGATCGACATTGACTATAGTGCCCTATTTCCTGATCAAAATGTTTACATTGAATTTGAAAAAAAATCTGATAAAATTTACAACATTCTAGGGGAAAAAGTAAAGGATTCCAGCTGTCTTAAAATATTAGACCAAATAAAAACTGGCAACAATTTAAATGAAAGTAAGTACAAGAAGTTTATTTTAATTTTATTATTGTAAAGTGAGAGCGAGAGAAGAAACAAAAAGTAAATTTTGGGTTGGTAGGCTATAGTAGGGAATTTCATACACCAATAAAAAAACTACATTTAATACTCAGCTACCTACTATTAAAACAATAAATAAATAAATTCTACATTTATGTTTAAAAACTAATGTTTATGTTTAATAGATGTAAAGAATGCTGCTTTGATGTATTTGTTACATGGAATGTTTGCACCAACATCAAAAAAAGTGACAAAAGATGACAAAGGTAAAAAACCTTATTAAGTTCTCTATAAAAGATTCACAAGAAAGTTGTATTATGTTTGGGGAATCTGTGGAAAATATGGAATCTCACCTCGAAAAACTTAAAAAACAGGGTAATCCTATTCAACCGTTTATTCTTGTTATTGGAACCGTTTTTAATATTAAAGAAATATTAGTTTATTTTGATTGTGTAAAGTATAAGGTACATTCAATTTTAAGAGCAATTGAAGTTTGTTACAAAATATTTCAATTATTCAATCTACAATATCCTTCAGCATCATTAGTTGTATGGTTGTTTATTCAGAAATATTTTTTTAATTACTCTTCAATTTATGATATACCTGACCCTAAACTAACACAAATATTATCTGAATTAAATTAACATTTATTGAATATGTATCTAAACTAACTTATGTTTGATTATTTTTAATAAAAAAACATTTATATGTAAAAGGAATGTTGATTATTTTATTTTTCATCTTTTTATATTTAATATTTTGTATCTTTATTGTATTTATAAGAAATTATAATGAAATTATTACTACTCAAATACTTTAATTGTATAGTATTTCAAATACTAGGTACTCAAATACTTAAAAAAAGTATTTGGAATACTTCTCAAATACTTTTGGTTTTTAAAGTAGGTTTCTAATTAACGCAGGTTGTTCGCGCCTAGTAATTAGCGACACGATATCGTTATCGTTGTGCCGCGACGACGACCGTTCCTTTTCTTTATCATCTCTCGGCTCCACCGACACCTCTCATTATTTAAATGTGTATTATTATTATTTTTTGTATTCATTATAATTATCAATGTTCTTTGTCCATTATTATTGTCTATCCTCTGTCTTTGGGCATGATTATCATTGTGTGTAATCATATCTTTTTTTCTCTGTTTACTTTATACGGCCAACGCCCCTGTTTTTGTTTTTATTATATTATCGTATGCTGTGTTGTTGTCGTGTATCATCTTCTTCTAACAGGTGTCTCGCTCTTGTGTTTTTTGATCTGCTATTAAAGCAATCTTTTTATTATTATGTATTATTCACTACAACAGTGAGCACCAAATCTATTATTCTTAATTTATTTATTACTGCAATGTGCACCTGGTTGCTCACTGTATTATACTTTGTGTCGCTGTTATACAACAATCCCAATAAAACACGATCTCATACCCAAAACTGAATGCGTAAGTCATTTATTTATTATTCTTATTATTATCATCATCATCATAATAAACGAGTCGTCCGCGTAAGTCCGCCAGCAACGTACGTTGTGTGAGAGGCCGCCCAGGTCGTCGAGAGTCAACTTCCCGAGCTGCGTCTTCGGCAGCGCATCACCGTCTCCGGACTTCCGTAATATTTAAGTTAGTTTGTAAGTACTGGCCTTATATTGTGAGCTCTGTGATCATTGCACCATACCAGAATCGATCACAGAGACCTCTCCCCATAATTAAACTGCATCATCCTAACTCCAACAATAGGTCAGTCCCATCCTTATCGTCGTCGTGCAACTATAATTGCCTATCCGCAAACAATAAGGCGTAGGCATATTCGGTTGCTTAATTACTGTTAGTCGGCACCTTTTAAAAAAAGCACTAATAGTAATAATCTCGTCTCGGTTGTTATCGAGTGGTCCTTCGGGTAGCCCCCCTATTGGTGGGCGCGAACACAGGTAATATAGACATTAAGCCTGGGCATTAAGGAGTTAAAAAGTTAAAGTAAAGTTAATTTTAACTTTTTAACATAACTCTTTAAAATTTAATTTTCATTAACTAATTTTTACTTAACTGAAATTGAATTTAACTGATTTTTAATGATATAAACTTAATAAATAACGAGTTTCTTTTAATCAAATCCAAATTTAGTTTTTATTATTTTAAACCATATATAGCTGGCTTTTTATGTATAAAAAAAAAATTTAAAAATATTAATTCTAAGTTGATTAGGTAATTGTAAGTTTTCATATTATAACTTTTAACTTAACTGAGTTAAAAAAAAATTAAGGTAACTTAAACTATTAACTTTGAACTTTTTAAAATGTTTTGTATCAACCTAACTCAGACAAACAAAGTAAGTATGTAAAAACATTTTTGTTCACCTCCCTACCGAGGGGGTGGGGCTTATCGTCTCATTTAGTATTGACAATATGCATTGTTATATTGATAATTAGTTTATCAATAATTATAAATAGAAAATTATCATAACAACAGTAGAATATCCTGTTGATTTGATAAGAATCTTGTCAAAAAGCAACAAGATTATATTGTCAAACAAATAAGAATTATTGTCAATATAACTAGAATAATTTTTAATTATCATCTTATCATAATTACAATTTCACATAGGTTGGTTTGACAAAAATCTTGTCGGCTAAATAGCAACAAGATAATTGTCAAACCAACCTAGTTTTTTTTTAATATGATCAGGATATGACCAGAGAAAACCACATATTATTTTTAACACTTCCGCCTCATACATCCCACAAACTCCAGCCTCTTGACCAAACAGTATTTGGCACTTATAAAACATTTTATAATCAGGCTGTAAAGGAATGGATGGTGGAAAATAGGCGTCCGATTACTATATATAATATAGGTGGTTGTATTACAAAGGCTTATGGCCGAGCATTTTCTGTGCAGAACATAACAAAAGGGTTTCAAGTGACTGGAATTTGTCCTTTGAATGAAGGGATTTTTGGTGATGATGAATTTCTACCATCCTATGTGACTGATCGCCCATACAACACACTGATGACACAACCCAAGGTACAATTGAAACTGGATCACAACCTGGCCCGTCTAATGAATCTGATGAAACACATCCACATTCCACAGCCTACCCTAATTAATCCAAGACATAATATAGGCCTAGTAAATTCAATTGTTAGTCCAGAAGACATACGACCGTTTCCCAAAGCACCTGAAAGGAAACTGAATGCGACTCGGAAAGGTAGAAAAAAAGGTAGAACCCGTATTCTAACAGATATTCCAGAAAAAGATGAAGTAGAGCTAAATAAAAAACCAAAAACACTAACAAAGCCCAAAATTAATTTAGTTAAAAAAAAATGTATTAGAAAAAAATTAAAATTTGTGACTATTGATGAAAACAGTGAAAAAGATTGTGAAAATCATAAAATAATGAATGATGATGATAGTGATGATATCATAAATGAGGTTGAAGAAATGGAAAAATATCAAAGAGAAGATGACTATTTACTCAGAACCAAAATCAAACAAGGTGATTTTATTCTCATTAAAGTTAAAGCGAAAAAAAGATGCCTTCACTATGTGGCTGAAATTGTTGATGTAGTAGGTAGCAATTATATCATCAATTATTTTCATAAGACAAGCAGCAACAAATTTATTGATGGTAAAGAGGATCATGATGAGGTAACAGATAATGAAATAGCGAGGTAACTACCATTGCCAACATTAAATTTTGCTTCTGAACGTCAAATGTCACAAATTTCATTTTCAATTGACTTCTCTTCTTATATTCTTGGCTGACACGCATAATGAAATACCTATATCTAATAATATTATGTTTAGTTTGTTTTTAAAAATTATTTTAGTAGGTTTTGCTTGTAATTTAAAAGATGACTGTTTATTTAAAACTGAAAGAGTTAAATTATTACCTATTAAGTATTAATTAAAAGTTGTTGTTTTTTTTTTTTTTACTGTTTTATTAACTTTATTAACCAACCTTTAATTAAAATAATTACCAAATAGTTAGTTATATTATAACAAGAAGTTTGTTTTTAAGACTAAAAATTTTTATTATATTGCCATTGTTATTAATATTGTTATTGTTTTGGAAGGTACCTAATTTTATTTTGTTTTAATTTGTTTATTATAAAAAAAATGAATACTTAAGAGTTAACATGAGAAAGAAGTTATATTTATTTTATCTACATATCTAATTATTGTGTATTGTTATAGGTAGTTAACTATAAATAATAATAAATATATTTAGAAGGTAACTATAATAATTGATATAAAAATAACTAGGTATTTATAACTAATCAAATACATAATATAAAATTATTTTTGAAATTAAGTATGCATATTTCAATGCAAACCAAGGTACAATACCCCAAATACCAAGGTACAATACATGTTGTACCTTGGACCATTTTTTGTGTTTTTAAAAAATAAATTTTAATTTAAAAAATAATTGATATTGTGGCTATAAAAAAAATTACCATATACTTATGTATATTGTCTAAACGAATAATAAAAATTAAGATTTAATATTTAAAATTGCAGGTACTAGAATCTTTTTTATAAAAATGGTGCCAAGGTACAACACTCTCCCCCTCCCCACAGTTCCACAGGCCAATGACCTCAGTTTTCGAAGCCTCGGACCAAAAAAAAAAAGAATGTTATTTTCTATATAATAATATGATTTAATTGCGTTTGATGTGCCACACCCAAGTATATTTGTATTGGAAATTCTTTTAACCGTTTATTAATAATATAATGTGTATTATTTTGTTATTTATATACTACATAGGCTTATGCCCAGGGACTACATGCGAAAGCTTGAAAATTTAATAGAAGGCTCCTAATATATTGTTTCAAAGGCAGATAAAAAATATTAAAAATCCTTAGTCATCATTTTTTTTTATAAGCATTTAAAGTTCAAAAATTGATAAAATATGGAAAAATCACGAAAATTAGCAAATTATTTTGAGTTAAGAATTCGTAAAAATTTTTCTTTTTAAATCTAAGGTTTTTAAAATTGAATACAAGATTCCTAATAAGATTATCAACCTTTATCAAAAAAAGAAATGTCCATAAGAGGGTTAAATTAAATTTTTATGAGCGTTTGAAACTCAAATTTTTACAACATTGGATATTCACTCGACTTCTCATGTAGCGATTTCCTTATTTTGTTGTAATTCAAAAACGAATAACTGTAGATACATGAACATTTCACTGAATGTTTATATTAGAATTTCCTATAGTATAAATAGTTCCTTTACTAATATCTAGGTACAACTGATTATTATAATTAACAAAGAAAGTACCTAGGTAGATATTTATTGTATAATTTTTAAATATTTTTAATTAATTAGTGACTATAGGAAGTTCCTTTATTAATACCTTAAAGTGTTTATTTTATGTTTTTATTGTAACAGTAAAAAAAGAGTCTACTTATTTGTTTTTAATTATCAATGACCATACTAAAAATTGTTAAATTGACTATATTTTATGTACCTATTATGAATATTATTCGGATTTTATAAACTGAAATATATTACTTTATACAATGATATATTATGTGTATAACTATCAATTTTATATTGCTTTACCTAATAACTTTATTATTAAGAGTTAAAGTTCAAAGTTATATTTTCAGCAAAAATACTGTTTGTTCATTCACTGGGTATTAGATGTTCATTCACAGGATTAATGTGTTCATTCACTAGAAAATGTTGTTTTTTAGGGTTTATTCATTTTAATTATTTATTGATAACTAATTTAAAATAAATATTATAATATTCTTGCACAGAATTATTCAATGAATGAAAAATATATTTTAAAAACCCGGGAAAACCAAAAATGTCTATTGTATCATTACTTGAAGATTGAATAGTGCTTGTGTGTTCATTCATTCATTCATTATTAATTATATTTATGTATAAATTTTTTCTACTAAAGTGTTTTAAAATGAATACTAAAATAATACAAACCTTTCTGTTATTTTTCTTGATAAAATAATTTTGTAAATGGATATATTTTAGTAGACTAGATAAGCATAATATTATGACCTTACAAAAAAATTATATTTGTTGAATTATCAATTGGGATGTGTTGGTCTAGTTTAAATATAAAATATCTAATATTTGTGTAAAGTAAAATAGTCCCTACATTACGTTAAAAGTTCAGCAAAATGATTTATTATAATTTAGAAAAATAGAAAGAACATTGTCACTCTTTATGTGATTCACATACTTATTAAAAAGTAGATTACCTTTTTTTGAAGTTAAGTTAATATTATTTTCCATATTACCTTTTGACTTATTGAGTACGATTTCTTAGATATAAAAAACTTAGTTTCTGATAAAAAGGAGCCTTTTTTTCTTCCAGCGTTCAGCGTTCCGTGGTCTAACGGAAATATCGTGGTACGTCGGTTCACGGTACTGTAAGCTGTTTAACAATTGGCATTTTCTTGCTGTTACATTGTGATGTCTCTCAGACTTCCGTGAAATATTTGAAATATATTGTTTCATATGTATTTTACACCATATTTTGCGATTCTCGTATAGATACTGACCTTCCCCAGATCCGATTGAATATCTATGTTGAATTTCAAATGAATTGGACCTTTAGCTTTGAAGATTACGAGTGCCGAAACAAATGACATTCATTTTTATTTATATAGAAGATAGAAGATAGATAGATGTTACACTTATAGGTCTAGGTGGCTATCAATTTGCTATATATTTTAGTGGTGGTAACATTTTAAGCCATTGATTACTAATATATTATTTGGTAATTTACAATGTGAAACGATTAATTAATCCACAACCTACTTTAAGCATAAAAAAAATATTAAACATAACCAAAACAGATGAACTTAATTTAAATACAACCACCTAGCATTAATAAAAATAACCTTTCCTTGCAACTATTAATTATTAAGAGATATCGTTAATTATAGTATATACCTATACTTCTTTTAGTGTGCTCCACTGCATCAAAATGTCGTCTTATTGTGGTTTTTCCTGTCTAGGGATGGAAGGAGGCTTGCTTGCCTTAAGGTTTAAGGCCTCCTATAATTTTTATTTCTACTGCTTGACAATTGACTTTTTCTTGCTGCTACTTTGTGTCGGCTCTTAGAGTTCTGTGAACGTATTTCATCTAAATTCCTCAGTTATTCCTGTCATTTTTTTTCTTATATAGTTTTCTAGCTCCTGAAAGGAAAAATAAAATACAAGGTTAATACACGCACTGGATAATGTATGCTATGTTAATCTATAATATAAGTAAGTACCTATCGAGCCATCGAAAAGAAATCACGTTTTGTTATTAATTTGTCGCTGCAGTTGAGTTAACTGTAGATTAGTCGTGTGTGACTGTACGATTATGTCGACTGTATTCTTTGGAATTGAATTTTTGCAATTTTCGTAAATTACAAATTATATATTGCTCTTTTATTCGTGACATTAATGTGTTTTACGTAGGCATAAAAGGAAACGAAATGGCCGACGAAGCAGCCTCCTTAGCTAGTCAAAACGTACACGACATCACCATTGATAAAATATCTTCCTACGACATTTTTACATCAATTAGACACAAAACCTCAAGTCATGGCAACACATCTGGGACTTCATCCCTCCAACAAACAAACTAAAGCACATAAAAAGTTCAATTAAACAATGGTATACTCTCCTGAACCTTAGCAGACGTCAACATATTGCCATCACTCGCATTAGAATCGGCCACACGTTTCTAACACACTCCTTCCTTATCAGTAAAGATCAACCCCCTACATGCAACACATGCCAAACTCGCATCACTATAAGACATATTTTCTAAGAATGCCCAATATACGAGCCAACTCGCACACTCAACCTCCCTCCCAACATCAAAGAAGCCCTCAATGAAGAATCTACCCAAAAAACCATCCAGTTCATCATCAAAGTCAATCTTATTAATAAAATATAAATCAAGCTCATATACAAATGTAAACTTACTTAAGTAAACTTTAATCAAATATCTTATTTTTAACATACAATTACTGTAATTTAATCTAATATTGTAATTTCTTTTTTTATTTCTTTTTTTTTGTTTTGTCAATGTCGGCTAATAAACAGCAGTTGAAGCCTGTAAACCTTTAAAAAAAAAAAAAAAAAAATAATGTGTTTAACAACAAAGGTTCTTCGAATAAATAATTGTAGTATTTTGTGATATATTTACAATGCTATTTCATTAAATGATTTGATCTATAATTTTTAGATATAAATTTGCTGAAATCTTATATTTGTAAAAATATTTTTGTACCTCTTCTCATCATATAACATGACACAAAAAACATAGGATGACCCTTATCTTTGTAATAGTGTGCTTGATTGCATGAAATTCTAATTCTCAAGATTTGTTCTATTTCGGTTGTACTGCAGATCTTACCTTTACTGAAAACAATTTATCATAAGATTTATATAATACGGACACAATACTTTCCAGTGACATTAAACAATATACTACAAGAAAGTTAAATTAAATTAATGTATTTGCTGCATTCTCTGTTTGCCCCACTTCAAAAAAAGACGTTACCAGTGACGAACAGGTGAAGAAGAACCTAATCAAATATTCAATTAATGATTCGCAAGACACCTTCATAGTGTTTGGTGAATCAGTAAATGTCATGCAGCAACACTTAAAGAAACTTAGGGACGTCGCGTGGATTATATTCAACCTTTTATCTTAATTGTACCATTTGAGGAGCCGTTTCCTAAATTAAATCGAATATTGTCTGATTTGAACACTAATTATTAAAATGTGTGTTTTTAACTTCGTTAGTTTAAACATTAGAGTGAATTGACCTATTATGAAACTTGATTGTAAGAACAATATCTGTGTTTGTACGTTGGTTTTTACTATATTTCAGTTTTTAAGAGGGTTATGAGCATTTTTAATTTAGGTATATTATATAAGCATAACTTGCTAAAAAATTGAACTATCGTAAAAAACCAACATACAAACACAGATAATATTTTACGCACTTATAAGACGCAGACAACAAATACCAGTGTTACGTCCTCTTAAAACACACATCAAAACGTTTACGTTTAAGCTAATGTAATTAATTACTGCAATGAAAGTAACATTTTTGCGGTAGGATTAACAGGAAATTGACTGATGCATGTAAAGAAAAAACATGTCACAGTCCCATTACAAGGACAAATACAAGTAAAAAAAAAAATATGTATTGGTATAAGAATCTATATATTAAGCATATATTATATGAGAAATAATATAACTATGTTTGGTTTACATATTTACATAATTTGCATGTTGAAATTTCTAAACGTTATTCATACAGTATATTATATTAAGTAACTTTCTTTATTTTATGATATTTCTAACAACGCCATCTAATGTATTCTGCAATATAAAATATTAAAATACTGAAAATATAGATGACCCACAACCACCAACCTCTAGGTACTTGCTCTCTATCAAATACACCATCCTCATTTGTAATTCAGCCCATACGAAATGTAAATACTCAACTATCCATATCAAATTGTATTAATCGACCTTCACCATTAAGGGGATTCAATACTGTAATTTTTTGTTTTTGTCTAATACACATGCAACATAGGATATTAGACTGAGTCTTTGCCAAACATACAAATTGATCTAAGAAGCGATAAGAATTCAAAAAACAGATTTTAATTTGAACTTCTCCAAAAAATTCTCGCGAATTTCCGTTAAAATCTCTGTTTAATGTAGGTTATAACAAATACAATATAATAAGGTAAGTAAATGAAGGATAATTTGTGGATCTCAGGCGCGGATACAAGGGGGGGCTATGGGGGCTGAAGCCCCCCCTTAGACTAGGACTTCGGTACTTAAGATATTTCAAAAAATAAGAAAGACTTCGTACAAAATCCCGGGACAGGACGCGGATACATTTATTTTCTGATGTGTAGGTACGCGACGACTTTCGAGAAAATCGCGGGTCGGACGGAGGCACGTCCTTGGAGGCCAATGACGATCGGTGCGTTCGGTGAAATGGAAGAGCAAAAAGGTAGAAGGGGCGCCACAGCTGACGACGGCTGGCGCGTTGATACCGCGTTGACGGTGAACAATAAAAATATCGGTATTTGATGTTGTGGGACGCCAATGTGTTATCAATGTTATCATTACTTGTGATTACACACTTTTGAATAATGATAATTTAACAACATTTGAATAATTATTTCTAAACTTAAAATTTTACATCTTAAACTTAATAATTAATAGTTTATACTTAATACCATGAGTGAGAAAAAAAAAGGTGGAACATTGTTTTCATTTTTCAATAAGAGAACTAAAAATGATGCTAGTGATGATAATATAGTAGTCGATAAAGATATTCTAGATGATCCTGATCCTGAAACACCAGATGTTAATGTTATTAAGAATTCAGCAAAAGTAAGTGCTTCTTTCTTTTACTCAATTTAATAATTCAATTTAACTTAATGCTTATTGCTTATGTAAATATTTATTATTTTATTTAATACTTATAGTTGAAAAAAAATGTAACTGAGCATAATATGAATGCATATGATGTTGGATTATGTGTTGATAAAGAACTTACTGATGAGGAAAAATTTAATTTTTGTAAAAATGCATGGAGTCCCGTGGCAGGTTATAAGTTTCCAGTTATAAAACAAGGAAATCAAAACCGAAGCTTTCAATTAGATTGGTTGAGGCGCTATCACTGGTTGGCTTATAGTGAACTAAAAGAAGGTGGCTTTTGCAAATGTTGTGTGCTTTTTGCCCCAATAGGTGGTGGTAGAGGATGTCAGGTAATTATATAGTACAAGTTTCAACACAGTACAGAAAAAATGCAAATTAACATAATAATATAATACTAAAATCATTATCTACCTCTCAATTTATTTTATTTTTATCTCCAGGTTTTAAAGATGTTTGTTAAAGAACCTTTTAATAATTATAAAAAAGCACCTGAACTTTTGAAACATCATGCAACAACTCAATATCATTTATTAGCTTCTGAAAAGAGTTCTGCGTTTATACAAAATTATAAAACCGGTGGATCAGTTGAAGTAATGCTCAGTAACAAAGTATCATCAATCATGGAAAATAATAGAAAACGACTTGTACCAATAATAAAAACTATTATTTTTTGTGGACATAATAATCTTTCGTTAAGAGGTCATAGAGATGATGGTTTATTGGATATTGATTCAGCCTTAGTAGGAAATCAAGGCATTTTTAGAAGTCTTTTAGCATTCAGAATTGATTCAGGAGATAAAGAGCTAACTGATCACATAAACAGCTGTAAAAAAAATGCAACTATGATTAGTAAAACTATTCAAAATGAAATAATTGACATTTTGTATAAAGCCATTATTGAGAAAATTATAATCAATGTAACAAAAAACAAGTACTTTTCTATATTATGTGATGAAACTACAGATATCAGCACAAAAGAACAAATGACTTTTTCAGTCAGGTACAATGTACAAATTCATATAAATACAAAATATCATATAAATATCAATTTATTTTAGATACGTTGACATGGAGGAGATTGAAATCAAAGAAGAGTTCCTTGGATTTATTGAGTTAGGTTCGACAACTGGATCTGCTATAAGAGATACTATAATCAAACAAATTGAGTGCTATAAATTAAGCTTAAAGAATCTTCGTGGCCAAGGATACGATGGTGGCTCAAATATGTCTGGTAGAAAAAATGGTGTACAGGCACTTATTTTAGAAGATCAGCCTTTGGCAGTATATACCCATTGTTTCAATCACCAATTGAATTTATGTATTTCCAAAGCATGCGAAGTACAAGCTATTAGAAATTTGGTTGGTATTATTGGCACTGTATCTGTTTTTTTATCTACATCTGCCAAAAGAACAAATATTATGTTGGACATTATTTCAAAAGATGATTCAATACCAGCCCCCTCAAAAACAAAACTTAAAGCCTTGTGTGCTACCCGGTGGGTTGAACGACATGATTCTATTCTAACTTTCCGAGAACTTTATTCGTATATTATTTTAACTTTAGAAGAACTGGAAAAGATGCCTGACTCTGAGACTGCATGTAAATCAATTGGTTTCAGTGCAAGTATTAAACGAAGTGAATTTTTAATATCTTTAGAAATTGTAGCTAACTTATTTTCTCATACAAAAACGTTAAGCTTAGTACTACAAAGCCCTAAATTGGAGTTATCTAAAGCTTTTTCTCATGTTAAGAATGTAATTGATGTTATGGATGATATTAGAGAAAATTCTGTATCCAAATTCGAAACATATTTTAAAAATGCTTCTGATATGGCAGCTCTTGTTGGTGAGGAAATCAGAATACCTCGTTTATGTGGACGTCAAACAACACGATGTAATATTCAAACGACTGATCCAATAGAATGGTATAGGATAACCATTTTTTTACCTTTTATTGATCATTTAATTTCCGAACTAAAATTAAGGTTCAATGAAAAGTTAAGTGAAGTAATGCCTTTAGAAGGATTGATTCCTACACATATTGATAAATATGATGAATCAAATATTATTAAAGCTGCGATGATATATAGTGAAGATTGGTCAGGTCAAAAATTGGATATAAAATCAGAAATATCAATCTGGAAGAAAAAGTGGCACAATATTCAAACTATGAAACCCGATACGGTGATCGAAACATTAAAACACTGTGATGAATTTTTTCCTATCATTAAAACATTATTACATTTATTGGCTACCATACCAGTTACTACAGCTAGTGCAGAAAGAAGTTTCTCTTCATTAAGACGCCTAAAAAATTATTTGAGGTCAACCATGGGACAGGAGCGTTTAAACGGTTTAGCTATTTTAAACATTCATAAAAACATACCTATAAATATTGATGAAGTAATTAATATATTTTCAAGATCATCTAGAAGAATAAAAACGGAGGATTGGTCAATTTAATTTGTTATATTTATTAAATTTTGTTATTAATAATTATTAAATAATCTCTTATAATAAGCATATATAATGAATAAAAAAACTTAAACTAAATGCCCATGCTTTTATATACTTTAAGTACATTTTTTTGTTAAGCCCCCCCCCCCTTTTTTCATTTCTAGATCCGCGCCTGGATAAGATAGCTAAAGAATTAAATACGTCAGTAATACCATCAGGTGAATAATCTTGTTTGTAATATTTTGTAGAAATAATAATTTCTAATAATAGTTAGGTTGTGTGTTTCACATGGACGCGTATCATACGCGACGCGTTTCAGTTTATATTGTTTACATTGCTTTTAAAAACAAAGACCGTCATACCCATCGTCGGTCTGGCGCGTGTGCACTTAAACAATGTAAACTGAAACGGCCTTCTTTTGATTATTTTGGATTGTCGTTGTCGTCTACCGATAAGCTATAAATAGACAATAACTATCGTTATTTAATGAAATTAAGATATAAAGATAATACTTTTAAGATTGTGCGTGGCATCACAGTTTATTATTTTTATTTTTATTTTTTATTTATAATATTAAACAATAGTATTTTTTCGATTTTACATGTAATTTATTTTTTATATTACATTGTAGTACATTACATTTTATATTGTATCAACAACATTTTTAATTAACGACATCTTAATTTATATATTATTAATTAATAACATCCTAATTTAAATATTTTTAAATAATGACATCTTAATTTACATATTTTTTATTCAAAACTGTCCCCTTTGTACTGCTCTTCTTTACCAGTCAACAGATCCGTAGTTAGAATTAAACCAATCAGTGAAGTTTTTTCGAATTGAAAATGCTTCATTAGAACTTCTATTTCGATTTGGTGCTAATGAACTAAAATTACTTTCATCAAATCTGTATGCTATTTCATCATCTTTGTCCTGTATACTGGCATTTGAACGAATATCAGTTCTCAAATAATTATGAAGCACAATTGTGGCCAACACTATTTTATCTATGGTGTCCAATTTGCATTCAAAAGGTCTTTTGTACACCCGAAATCTTGCTGTTAATATTCCAAAGCTAATTTCTACTGTTTGCCTTGCTCGGGATAATCGATAATTAAAAACCTTGTTTTCATAATTGCCAGTCACTCTCGCTCTAGGATATGGACGCATTAAATTTGGCATTAGAGGAAATGCTTCGTCTCCGACAAAGACATACGGTGTTTCTGTATTTTGCCCAGGTAACGGTTTTGGTTCGGGCAATTGTAAAGACCCATGTTTAGCATTTTCCCTAACGAAGAATTGGCGAAAATGTTTCCATCGCTAAACCTACCCATAGAACCCACATTTACAGTTGTAAAACGATAATTTGCATCCACAGTCGCCATCAAAACAATGGAAAAATATTGCTTATAGTTGTAGAAAGAAGACCCACTAAGAAGTGGTTTCCGAATGGCGATATGTTTTCCATCAACTGCACCCAAACAGTTATAAAACTGCCATTTTCTCTCAAAATCCAAGGCAATATTTTTCCAAGTTTCCACTGTTGGTACAGGTATGTAGAAGGGTTGTAAATGATGACATAGAGCTGCACATACTTCATTTACAATATTTGATACTGTTCTCTCCCCTAATCTATAGCTTAATGCTATAGTTTTAAACATGTCTCCAGTGGCCAAATACCTAAAAAAGTATGAACAAAAATGATATAGCTTCTAAACGGAGTGATAAATGTATTGATTTTACAATGATGTGTGTTTTTTTGTTTATTTTTTTTATAAATGACGATTAAATTTGTATTTTATTTTATACGACTATTTTTAATTACATCCCAAGCTGCTAAGGATCAATGGCGAAAGCTAAGAGAATGTCATAGAGAAGCTCTTCGGAGAAAACAAAAAAAAAAGTGGGCAACAGGCAACACAGGTTAGGCTATGGACGTACCAAAAACAAATGAAGTTTCTCAAACCATTTATGAAAAACAGAAATACTGTTGGAAATCCCACTTCACCCCTTGAAGAAAGTCAACTGGCCACTTTACCCTGTGAAGAAAGTCAGTTGGAAGAGTTTGATATTCCGCCATCCGATGAACCCAGAATTGAAGCAACAAATGATGGTGAACCAACTGAAAATGTCGCTCGTAAAAGATTTAAAAAATCCACGATTTCTAATGATCCTGTTATGCGAAAGTTTATTGAGGACAGTGACAAGAGAGCAAAAAAGAGGGATGAATTACGTCAGAATCTTGTTGCAGAAACACAAAAGCAAGAAGAATTAAAAAATGATGCTTTGTATCAGTTTTTTATGTCAATGTACAACATAACTAAAGGTCTTCCAACAAATTACCAAAGAGAAGTCAGAAGGAATTTGTTTCAAGCTGTTTCTGATGCCGAAGATAAAGCTGAGGATGAAATCACAGACAAATGTGAAGTTGACCAAACTTATCAGATGAACACACAACGTGCTATTTCAATAACACCCCAGCCTACTAGTTCATTATCTTGTGCCTTAAAGCAAGGATTCCCTGATTTTTTCTGCATTGAATTCGACATCGATTAGCTCAGTTGACACAAATGAAAGAAACTGCTCAAGACATGAAGACGATTCTTCAAGAACATTTTTTGAATTGTTATAACATGGTAATTATATAATAATATAATAATAATATTTTACAAAAAAAATAAACATTTTTCTTTACATTTTTTTTTTCTTTACAAAAGACTATAAAAATAAATTGTGCTTATGTATTTTTTAGATTTTTTGGTAACAGCATCAACTACTTGCGTGAAATCTTGTTTTAATTTTTCAGTCCTTAGATATAAAATTTGAAAAATTTTGTCAAAATTCAAAAATTTAAATTTAAATTTAAAACTGAAAATGTCCGTAAACAGCTCAAAAAGATTCAAAATATTTTCAAAATTGTATGGTGTATAGAAAATGCTAATATAAATATTCAGTGAAATTTTCAAGTATCTAAATTCGTTCGTTTTTGAATTACAACAAAATAAGGAAATCGCTACATGAGAAATCGAGTGAATATCCAATGTTGTAAAAATTTGAATTTCAAACGCTCATAAAAATTTAATTTGACTTTCTAATAGAAATTTTTTTTTTAATAAAATTAGACAAACTTATGAGTAATCTTGTATTACATTTTAAAACCTTAGATTTAAAAAGAAAAAATTTTTATTGACATCTAGAAAAAAAACTAAAAAAAAGTGGAAATTGAAAATGTCCCTAAACAGTTCAAAATAAATCAAAATATTTTGAAAATGTTATAGTGTATAGAAAATGCAAATATAAACAACCAGTGAAAATTTCAAGTATCTGGGGTCATTTGTTTTAAAGTTACACCAAAAACCAAATTAAATTTTCTGTAAAAATTCCCGTTTTTCCTTAATTTTTCTTTTGTTTATCTTAACGCTTGTGAAAACTATTGGGAAATTTGAACTTAAGACCTCCCCAAAGTACCAACTAAATTCACTTTTTTATCAGAAAAGTTACTTTTGAAGAAAATCGAAGCATTTTTACTGTCCTAAAAGTTGATGACAGACACAAAAAATAAATAAAATGCACAATAATTTTTCTTATTTTTATTAAAAGTACACACATAGAAATACTATTGTTGATTTAACTATTTACAATGTTTACAATGTACAGGATCGCCTACGATTTATTTCAAAACGCTAACTTATCGCCAGTCATAATTATTAGTAACCATCAAATACTCAAAGAGAATCGTATATAAACGTGGTATTAAACGCTTACCTCAGGCATACTGCTAGTTTTTCTTCACTTCCAATAGGTTTTTGTGCATTACACTCTTGACCAGTGATATCCATTTTAATTAATTCATGAACCTCACTAAACTGTTTTCTGTTTAATCTAAACGACTCTTTGAACACACTATCTGGAACTTCACTGGATAACTTGAACTCTCCATGACTCTCTCTTTTTCGTAAATATTCATTCGTTTTACTTTTTTTTTTTATTTTTTGCCCAGTAGGTGTGAAATGATATACCTTTCATCATCCTCAGATTCAGATTCTAAATCGAGAAGAAGTTGCTGCTGGCTTGCTGTCATCTTATGAGCTATACTGGGAGCTATACTGGGAGAAATAATACAAATAATGGAGATTTTGGTATACAAGGCATGGGCGTGGGCTGAGTTCAATATGCGTTACTATTAAAAAACGTGTAGTTGGACTGGGTTTCGGTCACGCGTGTGCTGCGCGTGGCGTGTACATGGGCTGGGTCCAATTTGCGCCGGCCTATCAGTGGAACCCAAATGTTTTCATATGGTACATCACGGACACCCAGCGCCATCTATTTAGTGGATTTAGCATTGAACTAAAATAATATGAATACCAAAGCAATTTTTATTATAATTATTATAACATAATATTATTCTTTATTTCTTTTCAACATAGGTAGGCATTTTACATTAAAAAATATATATTTTGAAACAAAGATATAACTGTTACCTATGTGTGAACTAATTTTGCAAACTTTTTTTTTTGCATTTTCTTTACTTTTGTTTTTATTTGTATGTAAAGCGTACTGCCTCATCCTCATAATAATAAAGTTGGATATTATATGAGTTAGTACATCTTGTTTGTGTCCAATACATGGAAAATGTATGAACTTACCTATTAGTTTCAAAGAATTCATCAATAGTCAATAAGAAAACGTTATTGTTATCGCAGTGCTTAGCAAATGATTTTTCAACAGTACTCAGCAATCCAAAAATAAAATCATTTGGGTAAGTCTCCTTTTGATTTTATGTCAAGAATAGCCGCTTCTGGCCTGCTGCAGTATGACTTAGTACCTAAACATAAATTACAAAACAGAACTGAAATTTAGGTAATAGGCATGATAATTGATAGGGAATAGGGACAATAAACTATTGGTTACTATAGTTTATTTTAACATGGAAGTAGGTTTATTTACTAATATACTATACATACCAATTAATACTGTGAGACAAGTATCACATTTTACAGTTTTTATGAGGTTCTTAGTTATATACCCACAAATATAATATAAAACACAGTCCTCTGCCTCTGCTTTGTTATAATTATGAATATTATGTTCAAAAATAATATCATCTACTTCCACATTAGTCATAATTAAGGTGTCAAGTTTTTTTCTCAAAATTTCAATTTTTTCAGCTCTTTGTGAAACTTGTTCTTTATTATCAACTAGGTTCAAATCAGTAATTGTAATTGTATGAACAGTAGGTTCTAAAATCTTACAAATGCCAGATTTTGGTGGTTTTAACAATGAGTACATGGACAACGTTTTATACACCTGTAGAAATGTTGGTGTACTTGGATGTTCATTTGGGCCAGTAGCTTGCCTTGACATTCCAAAAAATTGCTATAAAAAATTATATTTAATACTTGAAATAAACAATCAGAGATGTAAAAAAAAATAGTTTATAATTTTTCTATTTTTCATCTATGTTATAATAGGTATTTTATAATATATTATTAATCAATCTCCAACGTCTAACATATACCTCTAATTTATCCTGGTTCATTTTGGATGTTAATACAAATTTGAATCCGCATTTCTCTAAAAGGTACTCTGTTAATTCTAATGTGGATTTCATAGTTACACGCAACCCATCGGCTGTATTTTAAGTCAAGTACTCATCTTTAGTAATATATTTATTTTCAACTTGATCTTCCCAACTATTAATCCAATTAAGATTATCTTTTAAAATCTGAAAGAAATTATTTTTTTAATAATTACTATACCTACTATTATATTCAAATTGTTATTTATAATTTATATAACTACCTGGAAATCAGGACTTTTCTTTTTTATTCCTTATGCGGGGTACTTTCGGTTAAATACATCAAATAGCTTATTAAATCGATCCGTAAAAAGTTGCGTTTGAGAGCTTTTTTTAATGATTCTACTTTTACATAATCTCTATAAAATTCAAGACCTTTGACCATGGAATTACTAAAAATCTGAAATTAATTAATAAATGTGTAATATACTTGTTTTTTATAATTGTTTTTTCAAATTTTACCTGAGTGGCTATTTTAACATTCATCTTACTAAAACCATCAACATGTAAATGTCTTAGAGTAATTTTGGGGCAAACTTTTGTTTGAGAATTCGAATTTCTCTTGATATCGTTTTCATATACATCAATATAATGTGACCATGTATGGAGTTTCCGGAGACTCCTGGAAACCATTTAACATATTATAATATTTCATTTGAATTTAATAATCATTTTAACTACCTATTAATCTATTAGAAATACTAAATTTAAAAAAGGTATTTAATCAAAAACTTTTTTTGTTGTGAAGCCTGTTTCTAACATTATTTATTAAATGTGGGGCATCAGCAAATATATAAATTTTTCGATTGCGGTCAATTGGATTTTCAAATGAATTTGATATTTGATTTTTTTACCAGATATACCTAATTCTCCCCAAAGTTTTCAGTTTGTAGATGCCCCATCTGATACAACTCCTTCAACTTTAATCCCAATATTTTCCAACAAACATATGGATATCACAACTAATTGTGCTAAAACTGTACCTATAATAGTATAATTAATCTTATAAAATATTAAGGGTGAATATTAAAATCAACATATTAAATTAAAAATAATAATAACTCACAACATAAATCTTTCAACATAGGTATTATAAAATAAAGATGTTAGATACCTAAGACCTAAAATCTAGAAACATAAACATTAAACATGCCACAAAAGCAATTATACATAGTTAAGTAATACAAACATAAAATTAACCAAAAGCTACAAAAAAACATACACTTAGAGTCACCTGAAAACTAAAATGTATTAGTGTATTACTAATATTTTTTAAATTATTATTTATACTGTATATAGTTAATTATCTACCACAATTATTAGTTTAATTCAGAAAATCTGAAAATCAAACATATAAATACCTACAACATGTTTTCTTATTTATGAATACCTACCTTTCACTGGTCCTCTGGATGCAAAAACAGCAATTGGTTGTGGAAAATTTAGAGCTAAACTCTGAAACATAAACACCAATTCGTAATTGGCATTTAAATCAGAAGATTCACTTTCCTCCCCAAAATCTTCTAAACCACTATAAGTTAGTATCTGAGAGTTTACACTAAAGCTATTATTATGTTACAATTATTTATTTACAATAAATGATACTATAAACATCATTCCCTACAATAATTGTCCAATACCTCTAGAAAATAATGATACTCTTGATTTAGATATTGCAATTAACTCATATCATACGTCTGCAGTTAAATTTACATTGTCATTGATTGATAACAATAATTTTAGTAGAAAAGATGTTTTTGAAATCCAAAGAAAAATTGAAAAATATATAATTCAACCCGTTGATAATTTAATTACTAGTTTCACTCAGAAGACGGTAAAAGAATCAATTTTATTATCATCTTTTCAAATAATTTCAACAGCATTTACTAATGCATTTAATTAGTGCAATTCTGAGTTTTCTTTGAACAATTGGTTGGTTAGAAACAATTTATTTCAGAATGTTCAAGAATTTACTATA